GTCGCAGTTGTACGTGTTCCGACGCGACGGCGAGAAAATACTACGGCGTATCACCGCGACATCGCCCCGTTTCCATTACATGCGCGATTTAATACGTCGCAATCTCGCAGGAACGATCGACGGCAACGAGCGTCTCGTGTATTACGCAATACGATGGTATCTTTCTTGTCGCCCCGTAACGATACGTCGCCGTAAAAATGGCAGAAAACGGTTAGCTTTACGTGTAGAATTAAAAAAACGGATGTCCGTTTGTATCGGCAATATTCGCTTAATTCGTTCGCTTCGTCACGGACCATATATAGAGCGGCCCAAGCGCAATGAGCAGCGTAAATTATACGTTTATAATAGATATAAAACATTTTGCGACTCGCAAGTTCAAGATTTTATTCTTCCTTCCTTTCTTTTTACTATTTCCCCTTCGTACGTGACTTAGCGTGAATTGCATAGCGGAGGATGGAAGACAGTGAGATAAAATCGAGATAAAGTGAAAATCTGGGCGGAAATATTTTACATGCACTTGTGTAATATTTCTGACACTAACTCTCTCATCGTTTTGGTAATCTCAGGAATTTATCTCGAAGAAACCGCACCGGCTGTCACTACAAGTATCGGTATTTGCGAAATTAAGTTTCCCCTCGAGTTTTACTATTTAAGATATCGGTCGGAGAGACCGGCGCGCCGCGCGAGACAGATCGGAATTTCCGCAGTTTCTTAGCCACGTCTCCGTCGTAACCGTAAGTTATTTCACGACGCAGATAATACTGTACTCTTCTGTACAATATTTATGGAATTCGCTTCCATTGTGTGTCTGCGAAATACCACCACCGACCGCCACGGCGTACGTCTATGAAATACCTAAGTCAGTAATCTTCAAAATGTCTTTGCGATATCGGTTAAAACATGATTACAATCTGTCCTCTTTTCCCCGAGAGTGTCCTCTTTTAACATTCTTAAAGCGTTTAAACGTTCTGTAATAAGTTTTACACGGAGCATATGGATCTATAGCAACACGCACAAATCACAAAATTCCATAAGATTTCTTAAAAAAAAATAACGGTAATCAAGAACGAATTGTAATGATTTAAAATTGTTAAAAAATTTGTGTTTTCTTAGGAGAAAATAATCTCTAAATCGAGTGTCTCTAGATTAAGTAATTGTGTAATTGTGAGATTTTTTAATTTTGCCACAAAAAGTTTCAATATAGTTTTCATTTTTTCTTTAAAATTTAAGACAAATAACATTAAATACATTTTATTTGATAACATTTGATAACAAATAAAAAACACGCGTGATTAGAGTTAAAGCTTTGGATAGCGCAGCGATATCTCGCGTTGTAGATCGTGGCGGACATGACGCTACGACCGCAATAAGTCTTCATGAGTGGTGCCCCATAATTTTCCACTCTGATTGAACGTTACGATCCGTTTACGGCGCGTATGCAGGCATCCCCCTTTTACTGTCGAAAAACGAATGAAAAAAGGCGCATTTTTCGCGGACGACACGGCCCGACGACGTCCGCGGCGGTCCTCTTGCCGGCGTGTCATCAACCGTAAATGCGGCTATAACTTCCCGCTTACTTTTCTCGAAGCGCGTCCTTATTTTTTCACAGTTTATTTACCGGATTCCATCGTCACATAATTTTCCGCTTTATGGCGCGGGAGAAAATTCAGCGAAGCTGCGAATTACCCTGCGTTCCTGGACGCGAAACAGCGAGTCAAGTGTAATCCGTCCATTTTACACGTCAGAATTTTCTGCAATTTTTGATCCGTAATATGCGATTGATTAAATTACAGACAACGTAATCGTTTAATAATAGAAAGCAAATGTGCGGTTTCAAGTGCATCTCTGAAATTATTTAATCAAAATTAAGCAGCGTTTTCTAGTAATTTTTAAAACCATTTGTTACGTAAGTTCTTGTAAAATGGATATTTCGTTATCCGGAATAGTGACATTTCAATTTTGTAGGAACGTTGAAATAATATTTTCACGATATATTGTTTGACGACGTATTTGCCCGATTCGATTGCTATTCTTGACATGTGTGTCGCACATTATAGATGACAAGAGAAAATTGGTATGATGTACTTAATAAATGTGACAAATCGATTCATTACACTCAATCCGGAGCTTTTAAATAAATGACGAAATAGATCGAATTCCGAGTGACCGTAATAATATTGTAATGCAGCATATAGTAAGTACTCACAGGATTATTTCTGTTTTTGGCATTAATTTTGCTTATTCACAAAGGCACGCGATGTGTAACGCTCATATTCATGCGTTATTCATACGCACTTTACTATTTCATCATCTTCTTTAATAAATAATTCAGTGTGCGCCTGTAATTTTCGCTGTTTAAAACATTTTTTAAAACATATTGCAATATTTTGCATTTTTTCTATTCAAAATGCGGCAAAATGAATAATGTCAGTATTCCTTCTTACGAAATTAGCATCTTCGTGGAATGTAGTTATAACCTTTTTTAATCCGCAAAAAAATTGGCAATAAAAACTCCTGTATTATTGCGTTATGCGATGAGCTATACGCATCACATTCACATTATCGCAACGAAAATTCTGCACGTCGCGCGATTGGAGCTAAATTCCGGGGGAGTTATCGACGAGAAGCGTGTATAAAATTACGGATTCACACGCGACGCGGTACAATCCCGCATCTGCATCCCTGCGCGCATGTTGCAATACCTCAACACAGGTCACCGAGGGCATAAGGGAGATTAAAACAGACAATGTAAAAAATACAATTGCACTACTAAAATTTCGAGGAATAACAGGTTACAGCGTATCATGGAATTTCTCGGCGTTGCGACTTTTCAATAAAAAGAATTTACCGGTCGTCAGTTTATCTCTTTATCGTAGCACGAACAGAACGGCGTAACAAGCCGGACAAAACCGGGCCCCGATATCTGCCGGAGTTAACCAACCCCCGCCGGCTTGTGAGCGCGCGTGCAACCCTAATGACGGCAATTTTATCGCGCTGTCGTGTAAAGAGCCGGGGTGTAGTACGCGCGGAGGAAGCGCGCGCGATGCTATCCCGGCGTGCTCGAACTTCTCGTTGAAGTCACGCGATCAGATAAACTCGAAGGATTAACCGTTAAACCGCCGGTGTAAACGGGGCGCGAAGAGCCAGAGTGAAAAGAGCGTGCGCTGTCTAGAGAGCGGAGAGAGGGTGACCCGGTAGATTTAAGGACGCTCCCTCTCGCGCGCGAGGGGTTGGGAGGGGGGACGAGGACCGGTGAGCTACGGAATGTACGAGGACAGCGGCGGCATGTTGGCGCGTCATGTCGAGAGCCGAAAGTCCGCGAAACAATATCCGAGCTTTCCATCCACCCTCTCCGCGCCCCTCCCCCCTCCGCCCCGCCTGACCGCCTCGTGCCAGTTTTTCGTGTCCTCTTTTCCGTCGTTCTTCCGGGGATGTTCTTGTCACAGATTGCGCGCGGTCGGGATTATGGATTTACTTTGATAAATGAGGACTCGATATCCGAGGCGTAACTCTGGGATGAAGATCGCGTTGCTTTAAATTATAAGTCTGCGGGTTTGATTTCTCCTGTGAGATAATATTATACAGGAGTATCTTCGATATTTGAAACTCTCTTACCGTATCCCGTGGCGCAATTTAAAGGATGAGTCGATGATATTAGATGATCTCAGCACTATTTTCATAATAAAAATTTAATTACGGATTTCTAATAATTTAAAACATTAGACGTGCAGCGTAACTCTCAAAGTTTCAACTTATTGCAGAAGAAAATCAAAGATATTATTTTTTCGCTAAAAAAAAAAAAAGAGAAAACGGCGCGGTATTTCTAAAAAAAAGTACCATTGCGCGCTAATGTAATTTCGAAAACTGTTCAAAGCTTTTCAAGTATCGCTTGCGTTTCCAATTATGCTTTCTTCTAAATCGACTAAATCAAGCGATACGAGTTGCCGGGCCGTCAAAAAAGCGTTGCGAAACAATAGCGAAGATCGTCAGGGCATCACGTCTTCAGTTAAAAGACCGTGAAACAATATCTAACCTGGCCACCAGCCCGGCGTTATCTCTCTTCTTGCTCCCCGTCATCCCAGCCCCCGCGTACTCCCGTGTCTCGTATTAGTTATCGTTTATATCAGCCGGCCAGACAAAACGCGCCGGCCGGAATTGGGTGAGCCATCTGTTGCCAGACATGATCGATAAAAGTCTGCCAAGTGTTATCAGTGCTAAACTGCTATTTAGACGGGCTGCCGCACCCTCTCTTCCACTTCTACTTCTTCTTATAGTTCTTCTAACCGCCGGTCTACCGCAACCTGTCTCTTCGTTCACAGCAGCTGTATACGGGGTGTCGCGGACTTACCGAGATAAATTTTACTCTCCACGGAATTGTTTAACTGCTGCGAGATCGATTTTTTGCAAGAAAATCTCAGGCGGGACGCAATTGTGAAAAATGTTTTCGTACTGCGAAAGAAAAGGTCTCCACGCGTTCAAAATTCAAGTATAATAATCGCGAATTTTCTACGCAGAGCAAAGATGAAATTTTTGCGCAGAGAATTTACGTCATATCCGAATTAAATTCATTAGCAATATTGCTGAGTGGAGTTGACCGAGCAAAAGGAAAATTAGGATGGAAATTGCGCCTCGCTGTACGGTTTGAGCGTCCCGTAATGAGTAAGTAGCAAAATGGCTAGTAGAGAGCACACCTAATTCAATATCATTGAAACACGATCTTGTCAATTAGCTCTGTGATTTCGGTATTTAGTTATAGCTTCGGAGCTATATAATCAATATAGGAGTTAGACATTCTAACGTTACACGAATCCGATTACGTTAATATAATTCCGCTCAAATGACAGGACATCTCAACATTTAACATTTAATCTAATGTCACCAATTACTTTCGCCGACTGAATCGATTTAGAACACACATAGGTTTTCTGTAACGATTTTTTTTCAAATAACCGAACGAAATGTTATATTTAGAAAGAGCAATAAAAGCAGTAACTATGGAGTTCTCGATAATGCTTAATATAAATTTAATGTTTAAAAGAGAATTTAATCATGTGAGAATTATGTATAAGCTGCAGCGCGTCAAACTAACACAGAAAATTACCGTCGATTATTTCCTAAAGTAAATCGTATACCGATTGATCTCCTAACATGCGAGAGATAATGGTGTCTCATATCGTTGTATCCCTTCGGCCTCCTCCTCCCTCCCGCAACATCACGTTTCCTGCTATCACGTATCGACTTGCTCATCATTCGCTCGTTGAATATCAATGGAACGTGCCGCGGATATTAAGCACCGCTGAAAAATACGCGAGAGATGTCAACGACAAGGATGTATTCAGGGGAAATTCGTGTGATAAATACTGAAAAAAATATATCTCACTCTGAAAAAAGGAATTTTTGGAGATAAAAGAAAAAAGAAAGGAAAGGAGAACCGTGGGAGAGTCGATTTGTTTTCCATTGCGCGCGACACAATGGCATCGCGCGAAATTCCAAAAAAGAATTCTCACACTTCACTTTTATTCGCCTCGCGTGTGTCGAATGACGTCGAGGGTAAAAACACCGCGCGCGCGATACCATCCATCGAGGTTCTGCACATGCGGAAAAAAATGATATCTACTCACGGTGGATCGCGCCGACTACTGGCTGACCACAGTTGAAATAATGTTTCGACGAGCGTGCCTTGAATTCGGTAGCGAAGAAACTGCAAGCTTGGCGGCTCTCATTGCACGTGCGTAACAGAGAAGTATCGACAACTCTAACGTTCACCAACATCGACTCGACAACTTGTTGTAAAAGACCGTTTAATCCTCGCGCGTTATTTAACTCTCTCGTTCTCTAAGTACAGCAACTTGTTTAAAGCAGACTTAAAAACAAAAATAAAAGGGACTTTAAAGAAGAATAAAAATACAGGGTTTAAGTTTTCCAACTTCTAAATAATTGGAAGAATTCCAGCATACATAATATATTCTATATTATAATAGGATAATTAACGTCATTTCAGAAAAATAATAAAATTCTTCTCTTCTTATTATGTTACAGATATGGAGCTACCCAAACATCCCAAAAAGGGCGGCGACCGGCGATCAGAGGACGACGCGGGCGACTCGATTGGTGATCGCGATCATAGATTGAACCACGCGCATCAAGGATCCCTGAGGGAAACAGGATCGACCCTGGAACCAGTCTTCGACGCGGACGACAATTCGGCGTCCACAACGTCGGCAGACAACATGCCGCCGGCGACGATCGGCATCATCCTGATCTTGCTGCACCACTTGGTCGCTTCGACGTAAGATAGACGTAACCTATTTGCCCTTAAACGCAAACTACGTTTACCACGAGCTCGATTCGCTAACCTAAGAAGAGACTGCGAGATAGCGACAGAATAGCTCCGTCGCCTCGCGTTCTCGGCAATCCACGACATATTATTGTCGAATCTCGGTATCGATATTATGTCAATCCTGACGGAAAATTAATCAGAACATTTTATACGGAGCGATTACTATGCGCTCCGTATTGCTGAATACGATACGTACGAAAATATAACAAAGCTCACTAAACCGTTGAACGAAATTCTGCTGCAGAAACCAGAAGGCAAATTGACACGGACATCTCGACTATCATTTTAACGTGATAATTTTTTACCGGTCCATTTTTTTTCAAATGAAAAAAAAACACAATTATATTTTTATCATTTGTTTTATTCGTGACAAATGACATTAAAATTATGTATGCGGAATCTCTAAACGTCAACTCTATGTGGTAATTAAATACTGCCAGCTTGCATTTCGGTGATAAAAAAAATGCATTTCATAAAATTCATGTGATATGTGAAAACGAATGCTAATAATAATGTCCATATTCACATATAGAAATAACGAAAACTTGGCAAGCTCAAAAAGCACCGAATTAACAAGCAACATGTTAAATTAAGTCGCAATGCGATACATATCACATAAACGGAACAAACCAACTAATAGCGCACGACGTTCAATATGGATGACTCTTTTATGTTTAAAGGAGATATTTATAGTTATAGGAGATATTTGAAGCATTTGGTGTTTTAGTTATCGAATGAATGAATATTTATTTACTTCAGTCACAAAAGGGACTTACAATTAGTACACTTTTTTCTTCATCCAGACATATCCATCCATCCTTCTTACTTTTTGGCATTAAAAAACCAAATCATTTGCCTCCCTATGTCATCGTACTTTTAATATCTTTCACAATTCTATTTTTTATCTTACATAAGCCTAAATCTTCTCTTTACCTATAAACTCATTTTTCATTCTTATCCTATACTTTCGCATTCTTCGTATATGATCTCCTAATTTACCTAAAATTCTATCGCAAATCTCCCATCCTTAGATTTTTTTAACTTTTCTCACCTTAGCAATCTAAGTCCTCGTCCATACACTTATCCTATATATTACAATCCTAACACCTCGTATCCTACTTTATCCTATTCTTTTTCGCTGCTCTTTACCGTCCGCATCCTTTAACGCATCAAAATCCTACCTTTCTACCTTAATTCCATTTCTCCTCCATTTTCCCTACCTCTATTTCCCTGCCTATCCTTCTAACTAGTCTGCCTCACTCTTGACTGTCCTACATTTTCATTTCTCTATAATTGCCAAAAATGCACGCAATTCTCTCCACACTCATACGCGTCCTCTAATCAAGTTCGCTGTTATATCGACTGCTTTCTTTTTAAGTAGCACAATCCGCGATACATTTGACACATTTTTTTTAAGACAAAAATCGACACACGTCACTTTCCATTTACAACTTTGTTCAAACTCAATAGACACTCTTCGACTTTTTTCGAGAGGAGAGTTGGAGTGTGTCTTATCCAACTGAATAATTATTAGAACACATCCGCAAATCCTCAACTCCCAACTCCTAGCTTCGTTTGACTGTACATAAAATATAAGGTTTGGTGTTAATCTGTGTTGATTTGTGTTTCTTATAAGGAAAGTAACCTTTTAGTTATCTTCATTTCTGTCATTTATGTAAGACGTAGGTACATGAAATCTATCATTTTACTTTTAGCAACAATTTAAATGCCAATAATTTTAATTAAGAAAATGAATTTATTCCTCTTTCGTGAAATTACAAACGTAATTTATCGGTCTTGTGTATTTATGACTTGTTAGTAAATTAATTTTAAACCTCAAAAAAAAATTGACCACCAAAAATACGTCCCAGGGAAATTGTTTTCATTATTATTTGCATTGTGACGACCGACATTATTTAAATTATAAATATCGCGACTTCTTTTTTATGCAACCTGTCCATATTTCGTACGGCATCGATCCAACGGGGCCGCTCTTCCACTCAATGCCCATGTAAATTAACAGCCAAGCCAATATCGACGAAATGTTAACGGCAGACCGAAGATCGTGAAATTTTGTTCGCGTCGTCATCGCGAGCTACGGTTACCGCGATTATCCGTCTACGGCTTAACGAGATATCTCGTTAAGCTGCCGCATCTCCGCGCCACACCAATGACATAATTATTAAATCGCCAGTCTTTTTTAACGCGCGTCCGAAACGTCAGATCACGGGCGAGGCGGTTTGCACACGAAATCAATTACACAAATGTCGTTCACGTCGAGTGGTCACCGGGGATATCGAAGGGGGAGGAAGCGCTCCCGGGAACGACTGCCGTGAGAAATCGCGCGTGTTTAATTAACGCGCGAATTTCCATCGAGCAAATTTCACATTAGACGCGATCGAGTGGAACGAGCTGCCACGCCGTAAGCAACGACGTCTGATCCAGCGCCGATTTTGCACGATCGAGAGAGGCGAAGTCTTTTCCGTTCGCGTGCGTGAGCTCGCAACGCGTACGCCTCGTATCCCCGGGAAATATAATTTCGCGTTGTGTACACTACTCGAATCTCTAAACAAGCACCAGCCGAAGGAGAATCCTTGAGAAATTTTACATCGCACTATAGTCAACGTTCGTTATTTCAACCCGCTTTAAAGACACTTTTGGGTTGTATATGTAAAAAGGGGATTATATTTTCTTTTATACTTCACGCAATAGTCCTCTATGTCACTTATGTTCGATATTTCTCTGGGAAAGAAATATTAGCGCGTATGACAGGACGGTAATTGGAATTTTTCTCATTAACATATTCACGCACCGCGAGCAATCGTACGGAAATATTTTTATCGGTAATTTCGTTATTAAATGTCCATACCGATCGATTCGTATGACAGAGACGCCTCTCTTTTCGACATCTAGACATTACTCAGACAGTTACGTCGTTTTAATTTCTTCAGCACGCAACACGAATTCGCGTGGTTTTATTCTTGATTTATTCTATCTTGAGAATATGAAAGTATTAAATTTGAATCCACATCGGTCGAGAATATCCTATCAAGCGAAAGAAAGCTTTCCATTCTTATGTCACGATAAGAATTTCATAAGAAATCGGAGAAGAAATACCGATATATGCTTCGAGCAAAGAGTAGAGAATAGAATTTTCTAGATAAAATGATGCTTTGTAAATAACTAATTGCCGAATCCCGTGATCGTCAGGATTCAAACCTTGGGCTAAATAAATATTCAATCAATATCACAAGAATCTTCGCGTATCATGAAATGGGAGTGCAAAACAATAGTAATAAATAAAATTGCTATATCACCTTGTAGCGACATTAAAAGCAAATATCGTTGAAATTGATTTTATTTTTGCAAAAATTGCAAGCTATTTGTATAAAAAAAAGACTTTCACAAGAATAATTTATTATATTACCCTTATCGTATAATCTTAAAGATCATACTTTCACTTTTCTTTTCGAGATCAATTTCTCTTATGTCTCAAATTAATATTAGAACTAATTTATAAACAATACTTACATATGTGGTTCATATGCATCCATGCAGATTTTCAGGAAATTCGCGATCCGCCGAAAATGCGACGGCTCGGTAAACGATTTTTGATATGTAATTTCGGCCCAGTTACAACGAGGCGCGCAGAAACGAAAACGAAAGTGAAAGATAATCACTCGTTCCAATTAAGAAAAACGTGCCAAATGTTCGCCTTCATTATTCTTTCCTTATATTTTAGAAATTCATCATACTTAAAACGGCTCATTATAAATATCGGTATTCCAAGGGTCCACACATCGCTTTTCTTAAGCTCCCGAGATTAATCTTAGATATTCATGTTGTTACCTCCATTCTCAGGCGGCTTTTCTATAAATGGCACCAAGCATCGATTCTGCTCGTTTTGAGTTGGCGACATTTACGGAGTTCTCAGACCTTGGAAATGTTCGTATGAAAAGAAGTAAGCGACGAAAGAGCGATCTATATCCATCTTTTTGTATAAATGTATATATATACTTTCAAATTAATATTTATTAATACATTAATAGTTAAATCTCAAGTTCCCCTGTAACCCTTTGGTTTGTTAAGTAGATTAAGATTCTATAACTTTACTGTAAATTACGCGGCACAAAAGGCTATTACATTCTCTAGGGACAACTTTAGAATCTTATTTCTTAGTTTTTGACATAAAGGCACTCAGGTCCTTCTACATAAAAGTCGTCCATTTAATGGGACAATGAATAATGTCGGTAGACAAAAAGGATGCGATGCTTTATAACGACAACACTTTTACTACCGCTCGTTGTCGACGGCGTTGTCAATTACGTTATCCGACAGTCGCGTTGTGGAATGGACGATTAACGCGTATGGAGGTTAAATATTTTATACTTGTGAAGTACGAAGAATAGCGCACGGTCTGCCAGTACATAAACCCGGTTTTCACAAAGGTATAATACCGTGTAACAAGGTAAAGTAGCTCGTTTCATGGTCCCTTCTTTACGTGACATTGAATTAAATATTGTATTTGTCATTATATCTTCTATTAATCCGCGTAATAAATATGATTATGCAGGAAAATTTGCAGTGTCACTGTAATAAAAACTAATAATCTGTTTTCTGGTCACACGTTTTGTATAAATGTATACGTATATACTCGTATATACTTTTAAATTAATATTTATTAATTCATTAATAGTTAAATCTCAAGAAGACGTTCTTCTTTTCAACCATAAATTATAATTTATAAGAAAGCTAGTATTACATTTGTAAAATCATTGTAAATCGATTGTAAATTTAGCTAATT